TCTGAAGAAGTGAGTTTCTTCATCACAAAAGCTTATGCCCCCAGTACTTCTGTTAGTCTTAAAGGAGCCACAGGACCCTCTGTTGCTTTTTACAGATTCAGACTAACACGGCTACCCCTCTGATAGTTTGGTAACATGTTCCTCAGAGGGCTACATTGACAGTTTTAGCTATTTGCACTAATACATTGGAGTTTGGGGATATGTGTACACATCCAGTATGTGAAGATAGGCCTTCTGGGGTCCGAAGGCCTGTACATGGTATTGCTTTTTTCTTCAGGTCCAGTACTGTAATCTATTTTTCTCATAGAGAAGAGTTCTTTCCTATAAGTTGAGAAAATAAGCAAGAAAGTTTGGAAGATATGGAGCCAGTATCTCTCAACATTGTTATTCAGTATCTAGTTATAATGCAAAATGGCAAGTGTGATGCCACTATCTCCAAGCAAATAGAATACCTTTTTCATAAATTGTATTTAATTACTTTCCACAAAAGATTATAGTAGGCCAGCAGTAGTCACTGGCACTACACATTTCTGTTCTATTCTTGGTATCTACTCTGAAAATTTTGAATTTATTATACAAAAATATTTTGAAGAATAAGAATGCTACTAAAGAAATTGTGATAGATGACCTTCAACATGCTCAGGTTATGCTTTGTATATTTCTCTAATTTAAAGGAAAAATACTGCATTTTTATTCAATATCACTAAATTTTTTTACAGTGGTTAAATGAGGAGAGAATTATCCAGCGGCTTGTAGAAATTGTACATCCGTCTCAAGATGAAGATGTAAGTACTATTTTGTGCTTGTCAAGATCCAGCTGTTTAGCTTATTAATTACTACTGTTACAAGCAGTTATGATTCTAGTAGGCCTATCTTAGCTGACAGAAAATCTTAAAGCAATATTGTAATCAGAAATAGGACTTTAATATCAGTATTGACTTTGCTTATTTATGGAATTAGTACTTATTATCTGACCTGCATCAAAGTCTGGCCCCTGAAATTCTTGAGGGGATGAAATAGGATGGCAGGAGTCTCCTAGCAGTGCTATTCTGCCATGTTGGTGGCAGTGGAATGGAGTCCTGTCTAAAGGCATTTGATGTTTAGAAATGTGTTGAAAAAAAACTTTTACCTTCCCCTGTAAAATAACATAAATTGCTTGGCATCTGGTCGTGTTTTTTGTGCACAACTTCATAATTTCTGGGATGGAAGGATTCTTTAGATAGTGTGTAGTCCTATACTGCTCTTACAACAATTTTTTTTTCTTTTTCAGAGGCATTCAAATGCATCACAGTCGCTCTGTGAAATTATTCGCCTGAGCAGAGACCAGATGTTACAAATACAGAACAGCTCAGAACCAGATCCGCTGCTTGCAACTCTAGAAAAGTATGTTGGACAGTTTAACTTCTGATTTATTTGCCTTGTACCTCTGAGAATGGTGGCATTTATTTTTAGTTATTTGAAGCCTTTTGGAAATAATTACTTTCCCATTACATGCATCCAACAAAATGTATGGGTGTTTCCTGAAGTAACTAAATTTATGAAAGTGAGCAAAGCTGAATTTAAATTGACATCACACAGTTTTATGCATGGTAGGTCTGGTCTGATAGTTGTGCATTATGCTGGCACTTAACAGATGTCTGGATTTAAAACACTTAGATCTGCTGCTGTGAGCTAATAACTGCCAGAAAAATGGTGAAGGAAACCAGTTTGATATTGTGGAAGGAGGGGAAAAATGTGAAAATGGCTCTGAACCTCCATCCAATCTTGACCAGCAGTTTTATAAAGAAACACTGTAGCTACTTGTCTCTGTATAAACACTTATTTGTATTTTTAAAAGTTGTATGTCTAACTTTATTGATGTTTTCTCTCTAGGCAAGAAATTATAGAACAGCTACTATCAAATATTTTTCATAAAGAGAAAAATGAATCTGCAATAGTCAGTGCAATCCAAATATTACTGACCTTACTTGAGACAAGACGACCAACGTAAGACTTTTCCCCCTGATCTGTGATCACATCCTTTGTGAGATTTGTGCTGCTGCTGAATTTACCTTTTGTAGAGGTGGCATGATTTGCATCCTTCCATGAACTGCAGGAAGTATTATGCACTTCCCCCACCCCCACTCTCCAACAGGTGTCTGCCAGCTTCACATCTGGAAGGGTCCTCTTGATCTAATGTAAAAACGTAGCCATATAAACTTTTAGATTGCATCCTTAAATACCAGCTTTATTTCTCAGTTTTTGAAATCCTTTATCCCGGCCTTCATATCAGCTTATGTTTAGATCCTACAGTGATGGAATTATAAGTGTCTGAGCACATCAGTGTTCTCAGTTGTGGTCTGGTCCCAAGATTCTCAGATTCTATGAAAAGCATGATATGAAATGTTTGACGTGTTCCTACATTTTACAGCCTTGTTTTGATAGCTGATGATGGCTCCCACCTGAGTGTCCCTTATGATTGTTCACCACAAGCCATTTCTGTGTCTGGTCTTGCTTTCCTTGTGTTTCAACTTCTGCTCTTAGCTGATGCTAACAGGTGCGGTCTTTAATATCTGTTGTGGTTGGATCCAGCCCAAGGGCCTATTTTGACCCCAAAGCATCTGCAACCTAGTCTTCAGCAGACTTGAACTTCTTTCTTTTTTTTCTTTTATTTTTTTTCTTCATCAGTCTGTTCTTTTTTCGAGAACTGAAAGAGGAGGAAGATGATGCACACTCCTTGATCACTTCCCTATCTGTTTGCTCATACTTGCCTCTCTTCAATGTTTGAATTTTTTACTTGTTGATTCCTCTGCCAGAGGCACAGGGTTTAAGTTGGTAGAAGATCTGCTTTGTATTGGGCTCGTGACATTACAATTTACAGCTGTCGCGCTGCAGGCATACATTGTGTCTCAAAACTTTAAGCTGTGAAGAAACACAAATTCTTCTAAATATTTTTAGTAATCTTGATGAAAAATTTTAAAAGTGACATAGGAGCTTAAGTGACTGTCAGTGAAAGTTATTGGGGACTTAGGGCATATCTACACTACAATCTTAAATTGGCCTAAGTTAAGAATTCTAACTCCTCGTCAACCTAGCCCAGGATTGGCAAACTGTGGCCCACGGGCCGCGTCTGGCCTGTCAGACCTTTTAATCCACCCCTTCAGCTCCCGCCAGGGAGTGGGGTCGAGGGCTTGCCCCACTCCGCATGTGCCGTGGCTCTGCGTGGCTCCTGGAAGCAGCGACATGTTTCTCCCTCCGGCTCCTACGCGTAGGGATAGCTGGGGGCTATGCAAGTGCAAGCTCTGCAACTCCGCGTAGGAGCCAGAGGGGGGACAAACCACTGCTTCCAGGAGCTGCTTGAGTTAAGCGCTGCTGGGAGTCTGCACCCCTGACCTCCTCCCACACCCCAATTCCCCCCATCCCTGATCCCCTCCCACCCGCCAAACCCCTCAGTCCCAGCCCAGAGCACCCTCCTGCACCCCAAACCCCTCATCCCCAGCTCCACCCCAGAGCCTGCACCTCCAGCTGGAGCCCTCACCCCCCTCCCACACCCTGAACTCCTAATTTCTGGACCCATCGCAGAGCCCGCACCCCCGCCAGAGCCCTCACCCTCTCCCGCACCCCAACCTCCAGTTTCATGAGCATTCCTGGCCTGCAATACAGTTTCCATACCCAAATGTGGCCCTCAGACCAAAATGTTTGCCCACCCCTGACCTAGCCATATCTATGCCAGGAGTTAGATTGACCTAACTGTGTCTCACAGGGCATGAAATTGTTCACATCCCTGAGCTATGCCACTAGGTTGATCTAATTTTTAAGTGTAGGCCAGGCTTTACATGCTTTTAAAACTTGTACTGTTTGGCATAAAGCATTTCCTAGGGATTGATGATGACTTGCTATTAACCAGTGTTGTGAACTCCACACAGCAGGAAGAGACCAGACAAACCCTGAGGACGGGGGGAACGAAGACTGAGCCTGCCTGAGCCCCACTACCTCGGGTGGGGAAGCTGAAGCCCAAGAGCTTCAACTCCAGGCTGGGGGCCTGTAACCTGAGCCCCACCGTCCAGGGCTGAAGCTCTCTGGCTTTGGCTTCAGCCCTGGGTGGCAGGGCTCGGGCTTCAGCTTTGGCTCCAGCACATCTAAGCCTGCCCTGGCAACCCCATTAAAATGGGGCCGTGACCCACTTTGGGGTCCCGACCCACAGTTTGAGAACCGCTGCTCTAGATTTACCCCTTTGGGTATAGTCTTTTTTCTAGTTATAGGTTTACAGAGCTGGTGCTATGTTAAGATTGTCTCTAACTTGAGTTAATATTGTAACTAATCCTGCAATATACTCATCAAACTCTTCTTTGTATATTTAGATTTGAAGGTCATATAGAGATCTGTCCTCCAGGCATGAGCCATTCAACATATTCAGTCAACAAAAGTGTTTTAGAAGCCATAAAAGCACGACTTGCATCCTTCCATGAGCTACTACTTGAGCCCCCGAAAGTAAGTGGAATTGTAACGCTACCAAATGAAAATGGAGACAGATTACAGGCTGTCATTTAGCGATAAAGGCTTTAAAAATAATAGTTTTTCTTCAAGTGCTTTCTCATGTCCATTCCATGTTAGATGTGTGTGCATGGCATGCACCATTGCCAGAGATTTTTTTTTCCCCCTCAGTGGTATCCATTGGGCTGGCTCTAGCACCCTCTGGTGCCATGCGCTCGTGGACCACTATAAAGGGCTTGGGTTGTTTAGTCTGACAAAGCA